TGGAATTACATTGTGGGTCTATCGTATGCTAATGTTAGTTTTCTGGAAGAAGGTACGTAGAAGTAACATCTAGAAAAAGTATTTAATGGCCTTATTTTATTAATCTAAAGTGTAATATCATTAATGGGAGCCCTGTGCATGAATATACCTGCTACCCGCCGGTAAATTTAACTTTTTAGCATTTGACATGAATAACCAAAACATTATTAAGTAAAGTACAAATTAACGATCTTTCAATCGATTCATTGTTGAAGATATGAGAAATCACATCAATTATGTCTTGCAAAAATATTTGCATAATACAAGCTTCTTGTATTATGTTGTTTTCAGGCAGTTTTTATTTTGGAATTTTACCAACTTCTGCTCATTTTGTGTTTGCTGAAGAAATAGAAATGAGATGGCACTCACCAAACGGACAGAGAATATTTCTCCAGGTTCACATTGGACCAGGATAAAAATCTAGATACAGATTTAACAGAAGCAAATCAAAGATCCGGCACTGATGAACTCCCAGAAAAAGTATTTTACTGGGAACCTGAATGGTTTAGCCCCAATAATGGTTTTTTATCAAGCTATTGGTAAAAGCAGCCAAACAGGTCACCTTTGATTTCAGTTTCGCTACTCTGCCCTTAAAAGGCACTCATTAAAGTGGTCTGAGTGCAATGTTCCTGTCCCCATTAGTCTATAACCTTAAAATTGCCTTTTGTTTTAACTGTATATTATTATAAGAATGATAATGCATCAACTAATGCAAAAACAAATACCCATAAAAACTTTAAATACAATACTTTTATTGTATCAACAAAATAATTGCACCAAAGGCAATCTGAATACCCTTGTGACTATAAGGGGAAAAATAAAAATTACATAAATTACCCCTTTAAATTAGGTAGCGTGAAGACTCCTCAGTGTCTTCTTAAATGTAGACATATATATAGAAAAAAAAACACCTAAAATATGAAGCAAAGAGAGACTACAATAGTGCAGATAAAAATAAACACAAAAAAAAAAAAAAAGCTTGATGCACTCACAAACACATAGATAAAATGGACGGGGGATAAAAGTCTCTTTCAAATATTTCTTCTCTTCTCTTACTCCAAATAGAAGCTCTTGTTTTTCACATTCCCATTCTGTGCTTTGTCCAGCTTTAACATTTTACTGAAAAGCACTAACATTTTTCAGAACAGCCCCGCACCTCGCCGCACCCCTAATATTAAAGTGTCCCTTTTAGTACATGTGAATTGTTGAAAGGTATGGAGAATCCCCTTTCAATTTATAATGTAAGATCAAAAAGTAGTGTAAGGTTGGTTCAATAAAACTGTTTGAAACTAGCCTAAATGCATTGGTTCAATAAAACTGTTGAAACTGTTTGAAACTAGCCTATATGAATACAGGCTAGTTTCAAACAGTTTTATTGAACCAACCTTACACTACTTTTTCATTTTACATTATAAATTGAAAGGGGAATCTCCATACCTTTCAACAATTCACATGTACTAAAAGGGACACTTTAGTCCGTCCGTCCGTCTATCTGTTTGTCCGTCTATCTATCTATCAATTTATCTATCTATCCATCTAGATGTTTGACACCACCAACCATAAAAAAACGACCATAAAAGTTAATGGTTCCATTATATGCTGGAAATGAATACAATTTCAAAACTGTAATTCTGGACATTTTTAAGATAGAAATAAAATACAACATTGTGAGTAATGATCTGTTTAGCGTAACAGTTGATAGTCCATTGCTTATTCTGGGTGAAAACACTATGTCCAAACGTAACTCTCAGGTAACCAGTAAAGTATCGTCTTGAACATCCTACACTCATTATGACTGCCAGTGCCCATTGCCAATGCTGAGGTACATACAGGTAGCTTGGCATTCGTGTCCAATTCTTTTTGTAACTGATATGTTTGTGGGACTGCTTGAAATCCCCCAGTAACAGAGCTAATTTGGAGATCTTTCTAACCAAATGATTTGAAAACTGCAGAGTTGAGTGATCTCTGAGGAGGGGGATCAGCAACACAAGAGTTCATTTAAATTGACCGTAGCACAACCATGGATCCAATGACTCTATGGCACTAATTACAATAAAAGACTCACTTTCTTCCCTTATGATTCATTTTCCTGTATTCACAATATTATAACCATTCATGGCTTCAAAGCTACGCTAAAATATGTTTATATGCACCAGGACTACGTCTTATACCGAGTTAACTCTACCCAGCTATATGTAATTCCTCCTACATATATTCCAATCTCTCTTGTGAGCATGTCCATCTATAGGTAAACACACAGAGCTACTTTAAAGGACTATTCACTAAAGTGAGAATGTATAATAAATTGAAGGGGAACTTCACATTTAAGTCCAAAGTAATTTAACTTGGAGCATAGCGGATGTTTCTAGTTCGACTATTTTCACCTTGAATTTAAAACTCCCTCTGAATTCTCTCGTTAGTATATAATCTAGTAAATTGAATGTCCATTAGGCAACCTCCCCCTCATCCCTGCAACTTGACCTTGTCGTATTTGTTTTATTTTATGAATAAAAAGTAGGAAGATTTCAAACAAAGTTTTGGTAAGCAGTGGATCGAAAGTCGGGTCAATATGGGAGGAATTATTGTAATGTTTATTAGTTGATCTTATTACTTAAGAGTACATTATTATTTTATAGGTATGGTGTTTGGACTGTATTTAGAAACACAGATTTCTGCATCCAGATTTTATTTATACAAACTAATATGTAAAAACATTTCCTTAACATTAAACCCCCAAACATACTGAAATCTGAGTCATACTATTGTGCAACCTTGTGCACTCAAATATTTTACATCCTCCCAAGAAGAAAGATTGATTGAGGCCTTTGATCACCATGAGGGATTTCTGCACATGTACTTTGCTAATATCAGTAATTCCTTAATGGATTTTATGTTGACATATTTTATAGAAATACTGTCATTTTTTGCATGTTGAGAAGTTCAATTTTTTTCCACTTACAACAAAGATCCTAATCTGGCTCGAGTTATGAGACATTAGACTTCCTTAAACTCGTGTAATACCATGAACATGAGTGTTACCATAGAACTAAGAGAACTTACCACTCATCAGTTTAGTAGCAATTCTAAATATTTGGTAATAGTATCAGCAAGCAAAAAAATTCATTCCAATTATTAGACCAGATTAGAATTAGCTATTATAATTGATTAATTTGACCACCAGCATTACAGAAGTGCTTTATGAACAAGAGAAATTGTACGGATCAAGAGGTCCAGTTACTAATATAGTTTAAAAATATATATATTCCCACGTCTGTTTCTAAAAGATCCATACAATTTAATAATGAGGCTAGTGATAAAAAACCTGCATAAATCGACAGTTCCAGTGTAAATGATTTCCCAGCATAATGATTTCACACTTGCCACAAAACGAGATAAACTTGTGTATATTGTTGCAAATCTATCTCATCAAAGGGAAACAAACAAGCCACTGTCGCAAGTTTACAAACAAACGCATCAAGGACTTTTTTTTTATGTACTTTCAATTGTCGTCAGTATTGCCTAAATGTCTGGCTATTGTGACGTCAAAAACTTTGATGCTAAGTCAGCATTACAGCTGCCAGGGCATGATGGGAGTTGATATTACACAAGACCAGGGGATCTGAACTAGGGATTTGTAAAATGCACATTGTCATTTATAATATACGACTTCCACCTAATCACCCGTGGAAAATAAAATTAAAACTTAACTTTTGGATACTTGCTTCCCTTGAGTTACCTCCCAAATTGGTAACTATGTACAAAATTTTATAAAATGCAAGACGACCAGAGATCCAGCTTGTATCACTAAAATATAAACATAAAATGCAACATAGTGTAGTAACGTTTTAGCCTTAAACACTTGCTTCACCTTTCAAGGTTACACTCACAAATTGACGTTTTGTATCAGGTCTTCAGGGTGCCTCCCCTGCGGTTAGGGTTTTTTTTATTCCTGGTAATCACACCAATTCCGGTATCAGGAAGTCCACACACTCCCAATGGTTGAGTATAAAAAGGAATTTATTGGCTTTAGAAAATATACTTGAATACGCGTTTCGTTCCCCTTGGTATATGGTCCTACGCGTTTTGTTCCACTTGGGAAACTTCTTTAGGGACCAAAATTTAAAACAATGACAATAAAATGTACAATCAAAAACACTGCCAACAAAATGACAAATGTACAAATAAGACTATTAACCCCCTCCCCCTCCTTCCGTTAAATACAGTAGAGCTGAGAGTCCATTGGTGGTGTGGTGGGTGTTGTTCTATCTTTTTTTTTTATTCTTTATTTTTCCGTGCATCAGGTAGTTTAACAAGCATTCATGTCATGCCCCAACAGCAGTAACATGTATTGAAATAGACAAAGTATAACAGTTGTGGCATAAGAAAATCGGTGCACATTTTTGTATAAGGGTTATCAAGAGAAAACAAGATGATTGTCAGTAGTGAGACATCACATCAATTAATAAAAAATCAGGCTATTCCGGCTGACTATAGGAGTGTAGCTTGCAAGATTAAATGAATGTTGTATATGTGAAACAGAGTAATAAGATTGTGAACATAACAACTGACTGACCATGCTAAATAGGTATGCATTAACAAACCATTGTGTGGCGAGTTATATCAGGATAGACAGGACCTGTCGGTTCTGAAGTTAGGTCCCAAGCTAATGGAACATACGAAAATCAGCCTTGATACAATGAGGGACATGTACATATTAATGTTGCGGTAGAAGAGTAGGGAGATCATTTTGCTAAACAACAGAGTCCACTGGGCAAGACAGTATTTGGAAAAGGGAGCATATGTCACATTTCTGTATAATGTAGACAGTATTAGTCAGCTATCAACTTGCTTAACCTATCCCTCTCAGTAGGTGAGTGTTGGGCTGGTGAAATAACGTGGTATGCACCCCACCAGCTCCCAGCCGGCATGAATATCAGGATATGGAGCCCACAAGTCCCTGGTCAGGCTGTTGGTGTGACCTGACGGTGGAGCGCAGAGCGTGGCTTTTTCAGGGTGCCTTGAGTGTGGGTCGACCGAGGAGGGCAGTAGTATGTGTGGGCACTAACTTTCAGTCTCTGTGTTTCAGGAATGCAGGGATGTATGGTCACCTTGCAGGGAGAAAGCTCGCTTGGTGGGTAACGCATAGTCCCTGTTGTGGGTCCCTTCGCTTGGCTTGGTCGCGGATTGTTGCTGTTCCAGTGGCGCCTGCCTGCTGTTGTCGCCGTTTTGGACTTCATGCCTCGCTGTCTTCTAAGTTGGTCCTGCAGCGTGGAATTTGCTGTAACGTCCCTCTCTGCTCTTTGCCCACTGTTGGCCCAAAAGCGCACGAAAGCCTGCTCTATCCGGTCCTCATGGAGGGCCCTGGTTGTTGCGGCAGCCATCTTGTAAAGTTAGTCACGGTTAGATCTCTCAGGTTTTACCGCTTCTGTTTTCCACTGCTTCAGGTCAGTTCACCAGTGGGGACCAGGATATCCCCCACCGGTCCAGAGGGGGGGGAACAGGGCACAGAGTTCTGCAGGAACTGTGTGAGGTGGAGGGGCGGCCATCCCCACCATCCCAATACAGTTGGCCTCATACACTGAGTGTGCTGAAATCGCATGGTCTGTCTTCTTAGATGTGTTCACCCCGCTTACCTTGCGTGGGCAAGTAGCCAGGGTAGGATTGCTTTGGAGATTGGGTTCGATACCCCTGATTTGTGGTTAAATTCAAGCTTTTTGTGGAGGAGCTCTAGCTGCACAAGTCTGCCTCCGTTGACTGTCAGGCCCCGCCCCCCCCTCTATCTGCTCCTTTGATTGGGCTGCCTGTCCTTTGGCAATCACTATACAAAGTTGTTCCAGGTGATGATTTTTCGCGGTAACGTTTTTCTTCCGGCATTCACTTCCGCTCTTGCCGTTCCACTCGATCTTTGGTTAAGATGGCTGTGCGTTCCATTCAACCCAATTGTAAACCTTCATATCATTGCCATCTGGTGGTCGCCAGAGGCATTACCACAGTTTTTACATGGTATTGTAGTCCATAGTAATGCATCATATGGGAAGAAAAACATAATGATTCATATCATATTTTCCATTAGAACTGCACATATAACCTTTATTTGCATATCTGCTCATCAGCAAACAATTATCCTTTTAATGTCTGTATTTTTCATGTATTATAGATGACTAATTAATTATATTCACACTAGTCAATCTTATTTAATATATATATAAACAGGACATTGTGTGCTGATGTTCATTTAGGAGCATCATAACAAACATCCATAATTTTGGCCTCATACCTCAATTACATTCCCTTTCTTTCTGTTTTTTTAATATATATTTTGTTGCTATTGTTGTGAGTGTTTTTATTTTTGAGTGTTTTTATTTCTTTTACATGGGGGAAAAAAAAACTTTCCTCAATCAATTTACTTTTAACTCATTAATTCTCTCTTTTTAAGTGAATGTGTTACATATTTATTATTTTTCATATAATGGACTTTATAAATGTTGTACCAGAATCCAATTTTACACTTCTCTCTTTAATTTAAATCTTTATTTTTCCTCTAAGGCTCAATTTCTCTATCTTTCAACCCGACAAATTATACTTTAAAAAAATTTTTTATTACTTCAGGAAACACACTAGATCCACATCGACATTCAGTCCCAAATTATCACAACATCATCAATTAATCTCCGCCATAGGACCAGGTTCGCCACCCAGTTATGACCACAAGCTGGATCCCTGGTCATCTTGCATTTTATAACACATTGTAATTTTTTACTGATGAATGTGATCAGCACTGGGTGATACGGTGATAGTTGAAATGAATATATAAAGGATTAATAGAGTGGGCTTTTTTTTTCAATTAAAACCATCTGAATTTGACTGTTAGTTTACTTTCCACCTTTTTTTCTTTGCTAGTAATTAATATATGTAGGACTTAACATTTCATGTTCTGCTAGCCAAGCCTTAAGAGTTACTTACCATTTCAAGTCTGAAGGGTCTATGGCACACTTACCAGAGGTGAATTTCTACTTACCGGGACTACATTTTCACTTACCAATACTGTGTATATATATATATACATATATATAGCCACAAGCCATTGGTAAGTACAAATTTAGAAATTCACATATGATGGGTATATTTTGGCTTGCATTGTGAGCAACTTTTAAGGCCTAGCTAGTAGCATAGGACGTCTAAATTTAAAGCCCTGTAAGAAACAAAATAATAGATGTCCTTGTGCGTCATACTCACATTCTCCCGGTCTTGTCAGTGCCTCATTGCAAAATAACTCCAGCCTAAATTATAATTTTCTTCATAGTGATCACTCACAGGACTTTTTCAATAAGTGCTACTTTACTTTTGCAGTTTATACAAAGAAGAAGTCTACGTTTCAGCCCTATATATATAAACAATCTTCTTTGATATATATATATATTACTATTATTATTATTGCCTTTAAATAGTGCCAAAAGATTCCGTAGCGCTTTACAATATTATGAGAGGGGATTTAACTATAAATAGGACAATTACAAAAAACTTACAGGAACGATAGGCTGGAGAGGACCCTGCTCAAACGAGCTTACATTCTATAGGAGGTGGGGTGTAAAACACAATAGGACAGGAAATATCAATCAAATAGGGAGGGAGTAAAGGAGAGCTGGAGGAGAGAATAGAGTGCTGCCCTTTAGGAGAGCGCAAGAGACAGGTATGTGAGGTAGAGGTTAGTCTGGGAGGCCATAAGCTTTCCTAAAGAGATGGGTATTAAGGCACTTCTTAAAAGATGCAAGACTAGGGGAGAGTCTGATGGCGTTAGGCAGCATATATATATATATATATATATATATATATATTGCTTTTATGTAGATGTACTGGGTTATTATTATTATTATTATTATTATTATGTTATTATTATGTTATTATTTATATAGCGCCATCAAATTCCGCAGCGCTTTACAATGGGTGGACGAACAGACATGTAGTTGTAACCAGACAAGATAGACACACAGGAACAGAGGGGTTGAGAGCCCTGCTCAATGAGCTTACATGCAAGAGGCAGTGGGGTAAAGTGACACAAAAGGTAAGGATAGTATTAGACTAGTGACAGTTGCAAGAGAGGAATCGGTCGGGAGCTATTAACAGTTTAATTGATACGCTTTTATGAAGAAGTGGGTTTTTAATGATTTTTTGAAGAAGTGGAGACTGGGTGAGCATCTAACGGAAGAGGGAAGCGAATTCCACAGGAACGGTGCAGCCCTCGAGAAGTCTTGAAGGCGAGCATCAGAGGTGGGAGTACGGACAGAAGATAGACGTAAGTCTTCAGCAGATTGTAAGGGCCAAGACGGGACGTACTTGTGTATTAGGGAGGATAGATAGGCGGGAGCAGCATTATGTAGAGATTTGAAAGCAAGAACCAGAATTTTAAATTGAGCTCTATATCTTACAGGAAGCCAATGTAGGGACTGACAGAAGGGTGAGGTGTGGGAGGTGCGAGCGGACAGGAAGATGAGCCTCGCCACCACATTCATTATGGACTGTAATGGCACAAATTGGGAGCACGTGAGACCACTGAGAAGCGGATTACGGTAGTCAAGGCGAGTATGGACAGTGGAATGGACCAGCACCTTAGTCGCATCTACACAGTGAAGAAGTTTAAGCAGGCGTGGGATAGACATAAGGCTATGGGGCCAGGGACTAATGAAAGTATTTAGAAAACTGGGCAGACTAGATGGGCTGAATGGTTCTTATCTGCCGCCACATTCTATGTTTCTGTATATGTACTCTATTATCTTTTTTAATGCCAGGTATCTCAAAAATAGAAAACAAAATACAGGAAATAACGAAGTATGTTTAAACAATAGACTAAATTATTATGGTGTAACAGGAATACACTCACACTTTGCAGAGCTACTGAGAGCTCTGCTGTTTTCAGCGTGGATGGAAGAAAAACCGTCAAAGGATATAATGCAGCAGTGATGGTATTATTCCAGGAAATAAATTATGTGGAGACAAAAAGTGGAGATATTCAAAGGTACAATATAGCAGCAAACAGTAATTTAGATTAAAAGGTAGGTATCCTATTAACATTTTCCATTATTTAAAACGTGGGTGGTATGAACCCCATCTGAGATTTGTAGGACCAGGAAGCCGGTAGGTGACAGAGTTAAAAATCCAAAAAAAATTCAAAATAAATTAAATGTAAAAGACTTTTGATGAAACCCCAAGTTGAAATGCATAAAGTGTGGTTTTATATATACCTAAATCATTCCATATACTATCGTTGCTTTTTATATTGTAATAAAGTTAATCCTTACATACATACAGAAGTACTCTTTTGGTACATCATTTGGTTCACTGATCAACTGAGAAAGAAAAAGTAACCAACAGAGGTAAAACAGGAACATCAATAAAAAATATCTACTCTAAGTCCTCAAGAAACAACGGCATTTAATTTAAACCTCTTCCTGCAACTTTAAGTCATCAAGAAACAAAATAACGTAATTTCCACTAAGAACACGATCCGTGATTAAAATCAACCTCATAGAATGGATGAATGCTAGTTGGCTTAAAGTGAACCTTGACAAAACAGAGTTATTCTTGGTGAGGGGACCTCGGGCAACAAAAACATCCCATGATCACCTAACTGGCCTGGAGCTTGGAGGCTCTGAACTTATCAGTTCATCAAAGGTACGAAACCTCGGAGTGCTGATTGACTCTGGACTATCATTTAAACAGCAGATTTCCTCCGTAATAAAATCTGCCTACTTTCCTCTGAAAAACATAGCCAGGATACAACACTTAATTCCACCGGATGAAATGCCAACATTAATCCATGCATTTGTATCCTCTTGGCTAGATTACTGTAATGTACTTTACTTGGGCCTCCCAGAAAAAGAACTCCATCGCCTTCAGACTGTACAAATTACAGCAGCCAGACTACTGACCAATCAAACTTGCTCCTGCCGCATAACACCTGTTCTCCTCTCCCTGCATTGCCTTCCAATTAAATGGTGAACATATTTTAAAATTGGCCTGCTAACCTTCAAAGCCTTAAACAATCACAGCTCACAGTACTTGAAAGAGCCCCTGACACCCTATATTCCATGCCGTTCACTTCGGTCAGCCAGTAAATCCCTCCTGTCAGTGCCAAGAATAAAGACAGACTCAGGTTCCAGGGCATTCAGTCATGCTGCCCCTACCTTCTGGAATTCTTTACTGTGCGCAATCAGAGAGGCATCGTCCTTACAGACTTTTTTTTTAAAAAGACCCACCTCTTCCATCAGGCATTCAGTCCGCTCATCTGACCTTCCGAAACTCCTAACTTGTATGTCTTTATATTTGTATATTTGTAAAGTGCTTTGAGTCTCACAGGGAGAAAAGCACTATAAAAATTGCTAAT